TATTCTGAGGGTGAGTTCCTCCTGTTTGTTCCCCATACTACAAGCATTGGTATATAGGCATTTAAGGCCTTGCATAGCTGCGTGTGCCACCCCCCAATTTGGGAGACTGTCTAGACTCCTGTTTCTTACCTGGGCACTCCTTGCATTTGTCACCTGTCTTGCTCGGGTGGTGTCTCCTCGTCTTCCTGCGGCCCCCTCCCCCAGCGAGGCTAGATTTTGAGGGAAGGGTGTGTGTTGTATGCAAAAAGATATGGTAGTAAGGTTTTACAAATAGAAAGATACAAATTATAACTAAAAATGATAAACATTCACTAACTCATCCCTAAGATAGTTTATCTATCCTGTTTATGGCACACACAGATACTGTAGAATAAAGGATTAATTGGGGTTTGTTTGAAATGGTCTATATAGCTCAACAGTGGCTTTATAAGATGTTTAATATATGAGATAAGTTAATAATTCATGACAAATCATTTTCTCTGTTAGTGTCTCTTTTTTCTGTTTGCATATAATCTGTAAACAGTTTACAATTCTATCTTATCTGGTCTACAAAAATATTTGCTGAGTAATTTCTACAAATAATTCTTGAATTGTTGTTTATTCACAAGCAGTGAGTTGTGCTTATTAAATATTTGATGTCTTAACATTTAAGCTTTTTAAAATGGGCCTCTGGGTTATATATAATGTTTTTGTTTCCTGATGGGATGAGTGCAACTCCTAGAATGAGCTTTCTAGCATGAATACTCACAATTACGAATTAGATATTTACTTTTCTGCAGTATTATTTAAAAATTGCTGTTTAGGTAGAGCATTTATGCCCATAAAATTATTTACAAGAAAAAAATGAATATGAGAGAAATGTGAACACAGTGAAAATAAATTCCCTTAAAATTTCAAGCTAATAAATGGCATCTATATTCAGATTTTTACTGCCATATTCATACAGTCACCACTCCCATCCATCTTTCTGTTACATACATAATGCATTTGGATAATGTATGTATTTTGCAAGCAACAAGTTATCATCCATTTCTTCATAATTCTCTGGTGGGATTTTTGAGGGGGTTTTTTTTGCTTTCCCCTAGCCCTGTTTAGGGGATTTTTTATCCAGAAAAGCAGACATACTAGGCTTGTTACCTTGACCTCTGTCCCACTTAATGTTAAAGCACCAGATGGCAGCTGAGAATATATAATCATATGTAATGCTTTCTATTGATGTGCTTCTAACCACCTAAACTCATGGATGTAATATAGCTTTTGTTACTCATTTATCTTCTGTTTATAAATATGACTGTAATATTTGTTCTCTCTTTATTAATACAATCAAAAGTGTATGATTGGCATTTTGAACTGCTGGCCTCAGAAAGACTCAAAGACACCCTGGCAAGGTGGATATCATGATCTAGACTCTTCTGAGTTTTAAATGGAACAAGGGGATGTAAAACAGAAGGAAATGCAGCTATGGTTTCACCCCACATCTTACTGGAGGAGTGGAGCTCTAGCAATTCTATGGACATATAGGAAAGAGTCAAACTTCCTTTCAGTCTCTAGGTTCAGATTACTTGATACACAAAGGACCGCCTTCTGTGGTTGCAATGTGATAGCCATGAGTAGTAATAACAAAGGAGCAATTTTTAAAATGCAAAGTGGTACTGTTTCTATTTTTGTTCATAGATCTTTCACTCACCTAGTCCAATACACACTTTCAATAAAGCTTCATCCATGACTCTTCCATTCAAGTCACAGAACAGAGTTTGACTTATTAAGAAGATAGAGGGGCAACACATGGCAAGAAAAAAAGAAAATAAAGAATGGGATGAGGGTTAGAGAATAGCACTGTAAGAGGGAAGGAAAACAGGCAAAAGGAGAGAACAGAAGAAAATACAAATGAAAGCAAGCCTCTGAAGGGCTTTTATACATTACATTAAAGAGATTTTGCAGTCATCGGATTTCCTGCCTTTATTGTTCTCCGCCTCCAAGGTAGCCTTATTTTGAACAAAAATATTCCATTCAGCTACCATTTTGCTGCCACTACTTGCAATGCCTATTGTAGTACACAGAGTGACAGAAATTGCAATGTGGAATGACGGAACTGTTCACTGATTTAGGGAAGCAGTTAAATGTGTAGCTTTTAAGTCCTTGCTTGCGGTTTTGAATGTGCTTAAATACTTCCCTTAATACTTTCCTATTTCACGGCCTGCATGAGGTCCTCATTATAAATAACCACGGGAGTTTTGCTCTGGCTTTCTTTGTTCATACTGGTGGAAGAAAGTATACACCAAACAATTTAGGTGAAATGTCATTGATGTACATAGTTACCCCATATATCATGAAAGGTACTGTTGGCATAGCCCCATTTTTCATGTTTGTCACTCATAACATTGCATAGCTGTGAGCCATTAATTCTCATTAATAGTGAAAGTGAGTCGCTTCTCAGTTTATTATGGAAGTTAAAAGTAGATTAAACTTAGACAAATAGGATTGGTTAGTTGATGTCCCAAACCCATAAGCTGCCAACTCTGAATTAAAATCCAGATCCAAAGGACCCAAAGTTCAGAAATGGTTTGATCTACAGAAGTTCCTGGAGCTTCTTTGTGCAGGGAAGAAGAAAGCAGATCTCGTTATTTATTTATTTGATATGTATGTCATCTTCACCAGAGAGTGCTCAGATCAGTTTACAATAAAAATTAAGATAATGTATAAAAACAGATAAAATATGAATATAGAATGGTATATTTTGCTTTGCAATTTTATTCCCTTTTAAATGCTATAATCCAAAAGAAAGGTCATGGAGACTGATTGAGCACATAGTATTAGATGTCTAAAATTAATTTGATTTTCTGTTGTTTTAGTCATCTTGGACTATTTCTCTTACACCCACTATGTTTGATCACGTAGGTGGTTCTTCCCGAAATCTCCTGGACTTAATGAAAAGGTAAGCATTTCATGAATTGGAACAATGGATGCAGGTACAGTAATTAGTCTGAATTTTACATTCTAAAAACAAAGCAAAACACTGTAATGAATATGCCAGCTGACAGTGCTAAATGTCTTAAAATGCACTGACACATCATATTTGAAGAATTGCAAGCTTCATGAACATTAAATAATCAATTTTTATTTGATTAGTCTCATACTTGGGGCCTAGAACAAAGAACACAGCAGTTGATGTCTTTCCACTAAATACAAAAGAACTTTGAATAGGTATTTCCATCAGATTTACTCTGATGTAAACTGATCTACATTGACTTCAGTGGACTTACTCTCAATCTCTACCAATGTAAACAAGCTATTGATCAGGCCCTTTATCTTAGTAGAAACTTATTTTGTGAATGTGATTTCTAAATTTTATCTTTGTAAAATTGAGTGGTTGTTAAAGATGAAAAATTAATTCAAGTGAAAGGTAGTTTGAGCTGGAATAGAGGAGCCCTAAGTTACATCACAGCTCCCACATCCCCAGATCTGTCAAAGATGATGCATAGGGCACAGACAGAAATCACAATTTTTGCCTGATCTGGCCACAGATCAGTAAAAGTGATCAGAAACAAATTCAAATCTGTAACGCGACAGACATTCAGTGTACATAAACCACTTTCAAAGTGGCTGAAACTTGTTTAAGATAAATCTAGATGGATGTAGTATCAAATTTAACTAATTTAGGTCAAATGCAATGCCATTTGAACTTGAGCCCAGGACCACAGCACATTGAGCTGGGATGGAGCAGCCCTGGCTGGCAGGGGGGGCTGGGGGTCAGCCTGCTATCCTGAGGATGCTCCTGACCATCTCAAAAGGGGCTGGTTGGGGCATGAGGGTGCTTCAGTGTGGGCCTAGCTGGCAGGCAGCCCCCTGCACTGAAACATCCTCATGCCCCAGGCAGCCATACAAACATCTACACATGCACTGTAGTGGAGTAAATAAGAACTCCACAGCAGGATACTACTTCTCTTTACAAGTACTATCCTGTTGCAGAGTTCATTAGTTTACTCCAGTTTAATAGCCTTGCATGTGTAGACGCAACATGTTTACTCAGGTGCTAATTAGTCTACTCTGCAGTAAATGTCTAATGTACATGCACCCAGTTATTAAGAAGCAATATAAAATAAGGAAATCAGTGTAAGAAATTAATACTCGAAACAAATTTCAAATTCCAAACTGAAACCATTAAAATTTTCAAATAAAATAGTTGTCTTAAATAAAACTTTTTTCCTTTAAAATATTTTCTGTTTACATTTTTATTGAAATTAACACTTTTTTCCCCAAATATTTCAAAACAGTTTGGATGAAAATAGCATTTTTCATTGAAAAATACTGACCAAAATCTGACCAGCTCTATTTTTTACCTACTTTTCTAAAACTATGGCATATTCATGAAAAATGTCAGTGCATAAAATGTAAAAGTTATTGTTCCTTGGTCTCTTCAGATTTGATTTACCAATGAAAAATGTGGGTGTTGGGTGGTGGAGGGTGTTGTTAGTTTGTTTTTTCTATTTCTCTCTCTCTTTCTCTGAACTGGTCCCAGAAAAGTCATTGAAATTTAAACTCTCAGTGTGGGAGTGGAGAATAAGGTTCTAACACAAATGTCTGTTTGAGTTTACTATTCTGGGTTTTCAGTTGCAGGCCAGACCTAAAGCAAGAATGGGTGTGGTTTAAATTCCTATGATATTTAAAAGTTTGAAAATTTGTTTGACATTTCCTCTACTCTGAGTGATAATCTTGGTAGTTTAGCTCTTAAGACTTCAACAGCATCTAACTCAAAACCATATCCTAATTTGACCTTAAACCCAAAACTTTATGTGAGCAATCCTTAGTCCAACATCACCTCTAATTAGCCCAGCATGACCTTTCATCCCTGATTTAAATTGCTGATTAAAATATTTCGGTCTTAGTGAAAAGGATGTGGAACACCAGCTGGTAAAAGAATGGTGAGCCAAATATGCAAAGGGAAAAACAATTTTGAAAATACCTGAAAACGTTACCATATTATAAGAGTATAGCAAAACCAGATTCAAGAACAGCTTAAGCGTAAAATAAATACTTCAAAAAGTTCTGTCACAGACGCATTGTGTAATTCAAATTGAGAATGTCTTTCACCATTAATCTTGCTACTTTATCTATTTGTTTATCTATTGTTTTATATTTTCAGCTTGGCTAGAGATCATGTCTTGGACAATCCAGCCATAGTTATCTATTCTGCAATTGGGAATGATGTCTGCAATGGGTAAGGTTCAACAAACCAAACTAATGTTTGTATTATATGTCTTTTTTAAGAGTCTTCTTATGAGTCAAGCCTTTCCATGTTGTTATTTTATTCTTTCTCCTCACTACATCTGGCTTTGTTGCTTTCTCTGCTGAAACATAGTACTTTCATGGTTACTGGGGCTAGAGTAATCTCTGACCTCTTGGTAACAAGTGATCTTGCAATAGCCTTGCAGCCAGGGCTAGCTTTGCTCCCCTCTTCTATTATTAGAGGACCTTCTACCTTGACACTAATCACCAGTACTGCCAGAGTATCAGTGTGCTCTCCTGCTCAGGCTAAGGGAGCAATTCAAGAGGATGATAAGATACCTACAAGGACAAATTAGCCTTTTGCTTTTGAGCCTTCCCTATTTCTGAGCACTGTAGAGAGGTTTTGTTCATTCATTCACTTTGGTCTCATTCACCCTATGAGTATGACAGGGAATCCTGGAAACATCTTCATAAACACAGACCCCTGGTGACTATTAGGGAACATTCACAGTGGGCATGTCTATGCATGCATTTACACTGGCTAAAAGTTACTGTGCAGTAAGCAGGAATACACCAGCTTAAAGTTACTGTGCAATAAGCGAGAATAGCCCGGCACCTGCACGTGCAGCCATTAAAACACTTTAATTTCATGTGTGGACTGGCTTGGGATTAAATTTAGGCCCAAGTCAGTCTACGCACACAGCGTTACTGTGTAGTAAGGCATCCAGATATATGTTACTGCGCAGTAACTAATTGGCTGCAAGTTGCCATCTTTACTGCACAGTACAGGTGTACATATGTAGATCCACATGCATACTGTGCAGTAATTTTGGTTACCGCTCAGTAAATGTGCACATGTAGATGCACCCAGTGGTATTCATTCCAGCATTTTACTCTAAATGTATGATTTGGCTTAGCTATAGCTATAGAAGAGAGTCTGTACATCTCCCTCATTCTACTAATTCAGTGGTTCTCAACATTTTTAGACTCAAGGCAGCCCTTGGAAAAGTGAGCTCTTAGTTTTCATTCATTTTTTGACTACAGAAAAATATCAGAACAATTTTTCTATTGCAGAGAACTAAGAAAGACTGCGACAGGTCAGAATGGTTTTAACACTAAGGATTCCTATTTGAAATCTTTGGGTTTATCTTGTGAATCACATGAAGGTGTTTCCACACCTAAAGGTGCTAGTATTACTTGGCACACTGCAGCACATTTCAAAGGCACCCCAGGGTGTCATGGCACCCTAGTTAAAAATCACTGTACTAATAATTTTGTTATTTTCTGCCTCTAACTTGAAATTACTTCTGTGAGCTGCTTCATTTTAATCTTCTTTTACAGTAGCTTCATTTCTTTTATTTTACTGTTCTTCCATTCAGTTTTCATTTGGTTTGTGCCCTCATCTGGAACTGTGTTAAATGTTCCCCTGTAATACCCCTACAATATCAAAAGGGCATGCATATATTCTCAAAACTAACAGTAAACTGTGCCCAGAGTCTGATTGGAATAAAAGCTCCACCGTGTAAATGCATTTCATCTCTTCTTCATACCCACACCATCTGCTTCCCTAATTGTCAACTGGGACCATTATGGGGCAAGATATGTGTGGCAACAATATGCAGAGGCTAACTCAGAAATCCCATCCCAGAAGCCAGGCCTTATCTATGGCTCCTGTTGCAAAAGCCTCTGGAGCGATTTACGTGACAGTTTAAGTTTCTATTCCAAGCTTCTGTTGTGTATATATTTTTTATGTAGATGCTGTACCATCACTGCTGGAATCCAACCCTTGGTTGTTGCCACATCTCTGGTTTATTTTTAATTCTATAGCATTTCTCTCTAATTCAAATCATCCCTGCTTTCTTCTCTCTTACACTATTTTTTAAAGTCCCTCAATTTAAGCTATTTTTGGCCTCCATTTGTGTAGATATTTCCAAATGCTATTTATTATTCATATCGATCCAAAATGTTATCCCACATTACAGTGACACTGTTCAAATTTGCAGTGCTGTCTGTTTGATCCTGCATATGTTTTGGTGGTAAAAATACACATCTACACAAATACAAGCACTCTTTGAGATCCAAAAAGGGAAGACACTGCTGCCTTTTGTAGAAATCCAAAACTCCCATAGATATACTGAGCAGGAAATAAACCATGGATTTATTTTCAAGAGGATATCATTATATATAGTGGCAGTAACTTTGAAGTATCTACAGAGGTTCTCTTGAATGCAGACCATCTACAGAGAATGACTTCAAGCAAGGGGCCAGACAAATAAAAATGATTTTAAAGGCAATTTTAAATTGCAGTAATAAGGCCCTTACAGCATAATCCTAAATTCTGTCTTTGAAAGAGATAAATGCTCTTGCATACACTGCAAGAACAATTCTTAGCCAAAGCACTATTAAAATGCCAATATTTTATCCAATGTGAAGAGCTAGCCAGTGAGTAATATAGGCACTTGCAGAAGAGAAACTTAATGAAATTGGCACAGTATGCTGTACTTTCCTTAGTACCCACTTCGTACAGTCCAATCAAGGGGGTTAGAAAAATGAAGACAGATGGCAACTGTATCCCTCAGCCCACTGAGGCCCAAATGTAGGACAAAGACCCAACATGAAAAAGATGAGAAAGTAATTAGTACAAGCAGCTTAAAATTCTCTAGAATGATTAAATGCATTTATTCTGTTTTATTTAATAAACCATTTCTATGGACCCTCTTAAGTGTTGGTGATATAAAAATGTTACAAAAATTGAAGCTGAAACAGTAGCAAATTGGTGTGGAATCAAAGTCATCTACAGTCTAAAATGAAGGACAGCTGAGAGAGATGATGGGAATAGGTAAGAATTCCATTACTGTAAGGCTGCCATGATCAGCTGTATTATATCCTGTCCCCAGCTCTCAAACTGGGTTGTGTTGCTGAGCATTCCTGTGCTGGGATTTAGGATATTAATTAAAAACAAAAAACTGTGTGCAGACTGAAGGGCCATCCTATGGCTCTAAGTTGTAATTTGTAGTGCAATTATATCACTGAAATTTTGAAAATGCTCCCATGATTAGAATGACACAGTGTAGCATGTTTTCAAACATTCATGCATTAATGTGCATATAACATGAATTGACACAGTGCGCTGTGGCAAAAATCAGTTTTTAAGCATCTCAGTGTTGTGAACTGACATGATATGGAGCAGTTGAAGAGAACTACCCTATTTTCTCTCAGACAACATGCCTCAAATTAAATATGCACCTTGTTATTGAAAGGCAGAATAGAGAAAAAAAAGATGTTTTTACTTGAGAACTGGGGGGGGGCAGGCAGGCAAGAGGGGAAGGGGCAGAAAAGGGTGGGGGAGGAGAGAATGTATCCATAACCAGCAGCTAGGGGGTCCTGCATGCAGCAGGTGCAATTTTACTTTCAATTTCCCCTGGGAGAGGCTGGAGGCAGAAATTGCTATTACCATATTTCCATGATATTAATGTGCACTCTAATTTCCAGCAGCTGATTTTTAGGGAAAATGTATGTGTTGTGTCCAAGAAAATATGGTATGTCCAAAGACTGTCCTGCTATAGCTGAGGCAAGCAATTATTTCGGGCGTAGGTTTGGTGAGCTGTCGAGAAATACATAGGTAGCCCTGTCCCTTGACATGTGCCCTGCCCCCTGGCTGCCATCTTGGCAACACAAGTCCCACCCCTAACCCCTGACCTTTGCCACCAGAAGTCCTTTCCCTTCTCCCCCGGAAATACTCCTTTTGGGAAGGGGGGGTTGCCATCTTAGGACCTGAAAAAAACAAATCATATGCTAAAAGTCAAACACTTACTATAGCTTATTTTAATTTTATTACAAAAAATATTTTTGTCATGATTTGTGTTTGTGTAGTGTATATAGAGGTGATTGTATAATAACTCAAAAATAAATTCTTAGTCTGTTATATTGTGGGGGGGTGGTTGGGGGGTGTGTATGGTGGA